CGGAACCGGTCCCGGCGGGTACCCGGCGGGTAACGGTTCCGAAAAATTGAGAACCGGAACCGGAACCATTCTCAATCGGTTCCCTATTTTAGGAACCGGAACCGGAACCACTCATATCGGTTCCGGTTCCAGAACCACCGGTTCCAAGGCGGTTCCGGTTCCGCAGGCGGGTACCCGGTTCCGCTGCTCACCCCTAGTTTGAGAGCTGTTGGGTGATAAAACTTACACCAAGTTAAACGAACCCAGTTAATCCCACATAGAAGTAGTAGGGTCTAGAAGGTAAAATCTACGTAGACGTTGCTCGGTGCCGCTCTAAAAACACCACATAGGATCATGAGAAAGAAAAGCAACAGTGAGTTCTATTCAGAAGGTAAAGTCCAGACAGACATACTAGTTTATGTTAAAGATGTACAAAAAAAAACTAAAGCCTGAAGCCCAGCCTGAAAAAGCACGGGCCTAGTGAGCCGAACCATAGTCTCGGTCAGGCCTAAAGGCCGAACCATTTCTTGTATTTGAGTAAAGTCGTTATGCGCCTTTGCCGTCTGATCTACACAAGAAAGACAAAAAAAGAAAAGAAAAGATAGTAATATGTTAGTTATAAGATTGATATCGTCAAATTTTTTGATGGTGACATGACTGATTATTTGAAAATTAACGAAAGATCTACAATTTTACACGTAAGTGAACATCTTTCAATAATAACAGTGTTGTTGTGTGGATTTCTAAAGAGGGTTGATGTGAAACGCTCATTTTTTGCTTTCATATCATCTCATCCTCCGCTAACAGTTTTGTCGAATATTATTTTTTGATCTTTTATCTGATTTTTATATATTCTTAGTTCTAAGAATTTAAATTTAAACCACAAGGGTGATGTCTGATTGGTTTGAGCTTGACTCCAATGGTCAAAAGTACTAGGAGGTCCTAGGTTCAAATTCAAGGAGGAATAAAAATCCTTTTGTGGTCACGGAGGTTCAAATGCGGTGACTTCGGGCTATCTGCAAAGCAGGTGGTCGTCCTGGAATTAGTCGGCTCGCAAAGCGGGTTGGATATCTAGATTAATCAAAAAAAAATTTGTTTGAGTTTCGTTCGCATTTCATAAACTTCGGATCATCGCTTTACGTAAATTTTGAAACAAATTCTATAGCTTATTAAATATCAAATACATTTTAATTTATATATATATATATATATATATATATATATATGGATGGATATATATATATATAGAGGTTGGTTCAAATAGAAACCAACCATATGGTGCAAACTAAGCTAACCAACCTTAACCAATCACATTCTTTCTTGACTTTAGGTTCAAATCTAAATTATAAATTAATGATAAGGGTAATTTGGTAATTCAATCTTTTTATAACCCCTAATAATTAAGGTAATTTGGTAATTCAACCTTTTTGTAACCCCTAATAATTAATTAGGAGTTACAAGTCTTAAAAGATACCTCTAATTGTTCACAAAATTTTTCTGATTTCTTTATTATTTCATGTTCATGGCCTTCATTTCAATTGATTTTATACATATATTGAAATTGGTTGTCTAAGTGTACAAGATTTTCGTTTCGTTCAACATATGAACAGATCCAAAGGAAGTATGAACACCGAAATCATCAGCATGAACATAATGCGCTTGTAGTCTATGTTCATATCTGCACACATGCACAACGATTATTGATTTTGAAAATGTTCATATTTGTGCATCGCTTGCAGTCTATGAACAACTTGTTTTTATTGCAAGACACAATCGTTGTTCACACAAACACATGGACGATGTCATACGGTGCATGCCATTTTCGCTGCCTCCATGTGTTCATGTGATCAGTGACTGTGGTCGTTTACACATTCAAATGCAGTGTGATCATAACGGAATCAACAATATGAACAGAGTGTGATCATAAAGTTCAATATGCAGTATATGTTCACAGCGTATAATATGTATAGAATAGGAACAGGGAGGGAAACCCAATTTTTTGACCAATTTACCCTTTGAACAATTGTTCATACACATATCAATTAATACATTAATTAAATTATTTATTATTTAATCTCATTTAATAATAACCGTTTGATGATAAAATGAACGATCAAGATCGGTTTGCATAGTGTGTACCATATGGTTGGTTATCATTTGAACCAACCCCTTTTTGTATATATATATAGGGTTGGGTTCACGTGAGACCAGCCTGTTTTCGTGAGACCTGTGAGACCACGTTTTTACACGTAAACTTCACAGCAAAAACACTGTGAAAGTTTTAAAAAGTCGAACCTTCATAGCAAAAACACTGTGAAGGTTTTAAAAAGTCGAACCTTCACAGCAAAAACACTGTGAAGGTTTTAAAAAGTCACCTTCACAGCATTTTTGCTGTGAAGTTTCAAGTATAAAATGCTGGTCTCACGGGTCTCACGAAAACAGGTTGGTCTCACATGATCCCAAGTCTATATATATATATATATATATATA